GGAAAGCTTACTACTAGTATAGCAAAGTTAGTCAAATGATTGCAGTGACATGTTACTGAACTGTTAGCAGCTTCAACAGTGCACCCATCAGTTGACCAGTTACCTCTACCTTCTATAAAAAAATCATTAATGCATTTCAACAGATATTTATAGCCTTGAGTCCAGCCCTGATAACATTTGGGGCTGGACTGAAGACTGTTCAAATATGAAAGTATGCATACCAGCAGCATTAAAGTCCCAATAGACACAACAAGGATTACTAAAGTTCTATAAAATAATAAAGCTTACAAATAGTAATTTATAAAATTATGATTACATTTGCCTTTAGTGCAAGAGTGATTACTACTGGATTAGGTAGTTGAGTACCATCAGACACTCCAGCAATTCTAGCACTAATGACTGATGATCCCACTATTGTATTAGGAGGAGGATCTCTGATAGGAAAGAATGCTGTTTCCTCATATAGAGAGAATGCTACTTTTATCTTAGCATCAGTTGTAACATTGAGAATGCCCTTTGGTATTGTAATTGATCCTATTTCAGTATCAGTAGAATCACCAACAGTATCTATCATCAATGAACCATCTATATGCATTTAAAAATAATAATAATAGGTATAAACATTAACTAACTTGAAGCTGTTGCTGTGAAGGTTAGTTTATTATAACTTGACCTTGTAGCCTTTTAAGTGGAACTTGTTATAATTATTATTTTTTTAATTATATTTTTCTCACCTTTCTTATTTTAAAAGCAATGTTTTTTTCAACTATGTCTATATTAGTGTTATTGTCATAATTCAAAACAGCATCTACTATTCCCTCAAATGATTGAATGATCCTATCAATAACAATTAACAACAATAAAAGCAATGTTTAGTTATATCTCACTGGTTTCCTTCTGCTTTCATAATTGTTGGCCATTCCTCTATATTGTCCAATGTTTGTATAACAGCCTCAGTTATCTATTTAAATATCAATAATAACTACAATGAACTGTAAGACATATATAGTACAGGAATTTTAAAAAATTATATATGCTTACCACTGTTAAGTTAGAAGGTGATAGATTAGCATGATCTGATATCAATATTGCAGTTTGGTTCAGTATATTTGATACTATTATGATATTATCAATGGATTGATCATTACTGTCAGTTGAATTCATCACCAGTTCATTCAAACTCATTAACACAGCTATGTTGTTCTCCGTAGTCAAGTCAACCTGAATGAAAACAACATTAATAAAATACAAAGTAATTGACTATCCACTTTTGATATGTTTTTGAATCCACTGGATATTGCAGTCAGACATCTTGTTACATTAGGTGATTCCCAGTAGCCATTACTTGTACACACTCTACTAACTGTTACTCCATTAGGACCATAAGGACAAGCTACTACTGCAGTCATGCTTGAATCAGTCTCAGGCCACACAAACGTACCACGACTACTATCAAAAGACTCTCTGGAACAATGACCTTAATAATAACAAGTCAGTGGGGTAAATGTATAATCTCATTATTGCTTATTTGACATAATAACATGACCAGCACATTTCCTTGTTAGCTGCATGTATAAGAATGTGCAACAGCCAAAATTTCATAACTTTGTTTATGTACTGTATTGAAGTGTTTCTCAACAATTTTCAATGTATAACCTCAAACTGCTGTTGAGCAAATTTAATAATGACTGTACTATTCTTAAGTGTAGCTAACTATTAAACTATGGCCCTTTCAACAAAGATTCTTTTTATGAAGGAATCAATGAAGAATGAGTTGATACAGTCTATAATAATTACAGTCTCTGCTTTTTTCAAAAATTTGCTATTTAAAAATAGCCATAACTTTAAAAATTTCAATTGGAATCAACTCAAACTTTCTACACAGAATTAGGGCATCAATATGTATCACAAAATGTAATAAAAATTTAACTATTTACCTATTCCAATCTCTACTACAATAGGATCACTTAAGGGACCTCTTCCAACAGAATTGACAGCAGCAACACTGATATTATATTCAATACCAAACACCAGGTCATTCAATATGATATATCTCTCAGTACTGGTGAGGTTGTATGTGATACTACTGTTACTGATAATCACTGCATAGCCTGTGATTAGACCATTATGCAGAGAACAATTGACTTCATTCCAAGTGAGATTATTAGCTGTAGAATTAACTGGTAAAATCTGAATTGATGAAGGCCAACTACTAGGAACTAAAAATATGTGAAAGATAATTTAATTTAAAAAATACTTAACATACACTTTATTGCTTTAGTTTGTATAATGATTGCGTTTAATCCAGATCCTCCTAGTACATTACCAGCTCTCACTGTGATGGTATAGTTCATACCACTGTACAGACCTATTAATGTATAACTGTATGTTGTAGTGGACTGATGAGGAGCAACAGAGACTGTCTCATTCACTGATGATAACTGGGGACAAGATGGAGTATAGGAGATGGTGTAGTATGTTACATAGTTGTCACTACTGGGAATAGTCCAGTTCACTGTAATACCAGTGGTTGAGACATTAGATACTGAGAGACTAGTTACTGGACTAGGAACTACAACAGATATCAATTACACTCTCTCAATGATAATAACTCACCATCAAATCTTAACACTGTTACTGTACTATTAACTGAAGGAAGATCTATATATGAGTACACACTGATGGTATAGGTACTCATTGGTGATAGATTTGTTATTATGATTTCATCTTCACTGGTAGATACTACATTCCTGGTTACACCTCCAGTAGTATATTCAATCACATGTCCATTAGTCTCTGATGAATTGGTCCAGTTTACTTTGATACTAGTAGCATTTAATATAAACCCTCTCACATAAACTAGAAGACCACTAGGAGCTAGAAAAGAGACAAAGGTATCTACTATTGATTAAAGTATAATCATACCATGTAATATCACAGATTGACTGTAGCTGACTCCTCCAATCATTGCTATACAGGTAACATTAACTGACACTCCCAGTGGATCAGGATATACCAATAGTGTATTGTTGTATGTCAGGACATCAATTGATGTAGGCATTGAGTTACTCTTCATCACTCCATTCACTAACCAGTAAACATCAGTTGAAGGATTTATATTAGTAGTTGTGAGACAATCAATACGATATTGAGTGTTATTGAGTCGTGTAATAGATGAGACTAGTGTCCAATTGATTGAATTAATAACTAGAAATACATTAAGTACAATAAAAGTGCAGTACCAATAATACCTGGTAAGGTCTGTATAATGATTGTACTAGCAGGTCCCAGTAATTGTTGATAGGCTCTGACTGTGATGTTATAAGTTGTTTCTCCTCTCAGTCCATCCAGTGTGATTGTATTATTACTACTTCCCTCCACCTGTACTGTCTGCACAGTGTCTGTGTCACTAGTGACATTGACTACATATCCATCAGCATCAGATGAATCAAATGCAGTCCAACTAACAGTGATAGTGGTAGTTGTCTTGTTGACCACTGTAAGAGAAGAGGGAGCAGTTGCTGGTACTAATAGAAAATCAGAGATACATAATTGTTATTGGTAAAATTATATGGTCGTTACTATTGAATCAATCAATAAGTGTGATTAATAGACCTCAAGTGAGAGGGAATCACATGCAGATCAAGCATAACAATAAAGCCAATACTAACAGGCAAGTACACTATACTCAGTATACAAAATTTTAACCTGAACAACACAAAAATATGTACATACAATACCACAAGCAAATGTACATACATCAACAGTACACAGGCCATTACCTTTTATGGTTAAAGTACGTGTTCTATCAGCAGCAACAAGATTATCCAATACACACCGATACATTTGATCTCCAGTGGTTGATTGATTGATCGATCCATTACTGACAGTCATTCTATCCCATGTGATATTAACAGTATGTCTTACTGTGTTGGTACTACTAACTAACACAGTACCAGGACAATTATCAGTAATAAATCTGTCATCACAGTTAGTGTAATTAACCAGTGTAGTGCTACCAATGCTCATACTAATACCATAGTGCCAGTGTCCAATTTTGACACAATTCAGTTTGTATTCCTGAGGATATACTGTCATATCAGAAGGAAGATCAGCAACAGTAAATGATTCTATTTCTGCAAATCCTACAAATGAAAATTATTAAATTAGTAAGTGATTATAGTCTCCTCTTACTGAATATATTAGCAAAGATGATGTTAGTGTTAGGATCTGAACAATCAGTGGGTAGACAACACTTATACCAGTCTTCTTGAGCTGCTGGTAGTGACTGAGCAAGATAAAGATTGATAGTAGCATTAGGTGAAGTGACAATAGTACAACGAAAAGGATCACTGACACTATTACTGTTACAGTCAACAGGATCATCAGGATCAGCAACTCTAACCCACTGACCAGTAGTTAGACTAGTACCAGGTAACACACATGATATAGCTTCAGTAACTGAATTGACACTACTATCCCAAAAATATGATCCATTAGGATAACAGTTTTCATGATGTACTAAATAGATACCTATAAAAATTAATATTTATATTAATTTATATTAAAATCGTAATATTATACCTTCTTGCTGACAGTGAGTAAAGACACTGATTGTACTACTAGCAGGTCCCAGTAATTGTTGATAGGCTCTGACTGTGATGCTATAAGTTGTTCCTCCTTTCAGTCCATTCAGTGTGATTGTATTATTACTACTTCCCTCCACCTGTACTGTCTGCACAGTGTCTGTGTCACTAGTGACATTGACTACATATCCATCAGCATCAGATGAATCAAGTGCAGTCCAACTGACAGTGATAGTGGTAGCTGTCTTGTTGACCTCAGTAAGAGAAGAGGGAGCAGTTGCTGGTTCTAAAAGAATTAAATTTTTAAAAATTTGTGATTATACTTACTTGTGATAGAGATATACAGATTTCTCATTACTGGGTCAAATCTTAAACTACCAAGATACAAATAGAATCTATACAAAAGATCCCCATTGTTGATTGATTGATTCAGAGTAATATTCTCTTCACTCCAAGTAAGAGTTAGAGTGAAATCCCATCTTCCATTACCATAATCTACTCTTATTCCATTACCAATAGTACAACTGTATGTGTATCTATTTCCATTACAGAGCTCAGTACTAGTATTACCAATCACATTATACCAATTAGCAGCATGTAAACTGCTTTGGTAACCAATTTTAATAGCATGCAGTGTGTAATTTTGAGGTAGAACTGTTATATCTGAAGGAAGGTCAACTGTAATGTCTTCAATTTGTGCCCATTCTATAAATCAGCAACAAATGATTGCATGGACAGCATACTAAAAACACTTACTGAATATATTAGCAAAGATGATGTTAGTGTTAGGATCTGAACAATTAGTGGGTAGACAACACTTATACCAACCATCATTGGCTGGTGAAATGTCTCCATTAATAATGTAAAGACCGATGCTAGCATTAGGTGAAGATACAACATTACAACGAAGAGGATTAGTACTGCAGTCAACTGATGGTCCACTAGGAGTAATCCACTCACCACCATTCAGACTTGAACCAGGTAAGACACAATCAAGACTGTTACTACTGCTATATTTAAAGTCATCATCAAAGACATATGATCCATTAGGATAACATTTTCCTTTGTTTATCAGGTAGATACCTACAAAAATCAATGCAGTTGTTATTATACACATCTATGCAGTGTCTTACAGTTACCTGAGGAAGGTGGACATTGACTAATAACTTCACTCACACTCAACAATAAAATAAAAAATATCATTAGCACTGATGCTGCCATGATAGCTGTATATATTTTGCTCTTGTTTATAGTGCTATATATAGCTTCAAAAATATAATATCATAATTCCATTGAAAGTTATTTATTCCCATGAGAAATGTTGTGCAGTAAACAATGAAACATAAGCATTTACAGTTGTCATAATAAATAGAAGCACTAAACAATTACATGTATAACTATATGCATGTGAAAAATGATGTTGAAATTTACCAAAAAAAAACTTAATGATTATGCATATTGACCAGTTTTAGTATATTATATACAATATATTTCATGCATTTCTGAATGGCAGGTTTATATACAAAAATGAACCCAGCAGCCACATCAAAATAATGTTGATGGTGAAATAATCCAATTGCAATAGCAATAGACATTGTGGTTGACATCTCAGTGTGTGATCATGGTGTAATTAATAAAAAACAAAAAGTATTCATTATTGATGATTATGTTGTTGTTTCTCTAAGCACTCTATAATTATTCAGTAGCAATAATAATGATTATATATTATTTTTTTTTTTTTTTGGCAGATCTTGTGCAACAAAAGAGACTTCAATTCCAGTGTCATTGGTCTTATTCTGAGATGAGAGTATGTTCTTCCTTGCTTGGGTTGCAGTCGACTGCATTTTATCTTTACTGACTGATTCCCTGCAGAAGAAAGACTTCCATGCATTTCTTGATTCATTGTTGAGGACAATAAAGAACAGGAAAATGAAGAAACCTTGGAAGGCATTGAAGAAACAGAAAAAGAATTGAATGACATACGAAACTGAAGGCTCTGTGATGAAAGTAAAGATAGCTAGTACCCATGTTAAACCAAAGAGTATTAATATACTGATGAATGATGCA